CCGCCGCTGCTCCTGTCCGGGGCCCCGGGGCTGTCCCTGCCCCCTGGCGCCGCGGGCAGCCCCGCTGTGCTGCGCGAGGCGGTGGAGGCCGTGGTCAGGAGCTTCGCCAAGCACACGCAGGGCTATGGCCGAGGTGAGTCTGAGGTCTGGCTCCCGCGGACACCCTCTGAAAGGAGCCTCGCTCCCATAAGTCCTCGAGCGCCTTCCTGGCGTGCAGCCCTCACATGCATTTCCTTTTGGGGAGTTTTCCTTTTGGGCTGCACACACGCACAGACGCACACGCTCTTACACACGGTTAAGCTTCCCATTCTCTCCCCTTCATTGAGTTATTAATATATTCTCCAGGGATCCTTTTTTCCCCCCCAAATACAGTCCTTTTTTCTTCCAACCTATTCATGTAGCTACTAGTGACCTGGCATCTCTGCCTTTGAGAACCGGTCCCTATTGTGTGGGATCCTGCCATTATCTCAGATTCAAGACCTCTCTCATCCAGGCCCTCTCAATCTTTCCTTTCTGATCTCGGCAATTCCTAGACTCCCCCTTTTAAAAGTTTTTCTCTGTCCTTAACCTTGACTTAATTCTTTACTTATCTTCACTTTCAGATTTCCAGTGCAGCTTCAGATTTGCTAGGGAATTAAGTAGCGCGTACACAAGTCACTCATAATTGTGCCCAAATCTGGACCCATACCACTGAGCCCACACTAACTTCCTGTGACTCAGTACCTTGCTTTGGTGTCTTTTTAGTATGGAGCCTCACAACTCGTCTCTCTATCTGTCTGGCTGTATTTTCCTGGCCCCTACCCAGGAACTGAGGATAAATCCCAAGCTTTGGCTCTCTCAATGTTAAAATTCTGTGGAAATGAGCCAGGTAGAAACCCTTTTTCAGTTAGAAATCTTCAGTTGAAAAATGCCTGCTTTCAAAAAAAGATGTCCAGTTTCTGGGAAGGGGAATGTGAGGATTTTTTTGTTGTTATTTTTGTTTAAACAGTGTAGAATTTCCTGTCTGAGTTCTAGTAAACTAGTTTATGTAACAAGGACTATATAGTGAAGGGTGTGGAATTTAGAATTTAAGTCTGGAATTTCCAAGACATCACTTCTGTTCTGTTCTGCTTGATCCAGAAGTAACTATAGCTTTAACTTTATAGTTTAATACAGAGAAAAGTTGCGGAGCTTTCTCTGTAAAGGTTTTTTTTTTTTTTTTTTTTTTTTTTGAGAAAGTGTAATGAAAAAGCTTTAGAGATCTCTGTCACATGCCCAGTCTGTCTTTCAGGAGGGACTTAGTCTTACTGAGCTTGAGCTTCCTCAAGGGTTATGATGTAAATTAATTGAGATATTGTAGCTGACATAGAATTAGTACTTTTAAATGATTATTATAATCTCAGTTTTGTTGGTTCATACTTCTCTAAAAAGAACATGTCTCATGTTCTTCACTCTTAAATTCTGATGGTGTAAATTCAAAGATTCCAATAAAAACAGATTTATAGACCCATTTTGCTGTGTACCTACTCATTAATTTACCATTAGTTTCCCTTCTTTCCCCCTGCCCCTTTTTGAGGCAGAGCTGTGTGAAGTTACTAAATTAATTGCCTAGCCTGGGCTGGAATTTGTGATCCTCCTGCCTCAGTTTCCCAGAGTGCTAGAGTGCTTGGATTACAGTGCACCACAAAGTAAAGCTTTTCCTTCATTCTTCAGTTTAAACTCTGGAGGCATTCTTCAGGGTGCTGAGAATACAAATGGATATGATTTTGAAATTCTTCCTGAACAAATAGTTATTTGTCAGTTTAATTCAAAGTTGTTTTTTTTTTTTTTGTACCAGGAATCGAACTCATGACCTTGTGTTTGCCAGGCAGGCGCTGTGCCACTGAGCTATATCCCTGGCTAACTGAAAGATTTAACAAGGCTACTGATGGACAGCCTGTCAACCTCAACCTTTAAGTCAAGACCAAGGGAAAGTCTTTACCTCCGGGCATAGTAGTGGCTAGGAGTGGGTAACCCTAAATCTGAATTCTTCCTCTTGGAAGCTTATAGGCATTTGTTAAAGTTATAGAGGAATACTCTTTTTCTTGTCTGTGTTAACCTGGAGAGCCTCTGGTTTGGCTTCTAAACCTGGTACTTTGGAAAAGCTTCCATTTCCTTAGAAAGAATGAAGGAACAAAAGGACTGTGCTGACAAAGAGCAATCAGTGGAGCTTCAGATGCTGCGTTTCTCTCCCACATCCTCCCCACCTCCCATCACAGTCCTCATTATTCTTGAGTTTCTCATTTCCAGTCTGGGTGTCCAGCCAGTACTTTAAGAGACTTTGGCAGATAGTCCAGCTTCAGGCAAGCAGAATCTCTGCTGATTTGGCTCAGGAGTTCTTCACCACATGGAACCACTTATTCTGCTTCGATTAATAGGCAAAGCTGCCGTTGGCAGTACCCATATACTCATGACTGATGGCATGGTGTTTGGGGGATGGCTCTTTTCCCCTGAGTATAATTTACTTTGGTCTCTGTCCAGATCATTGCCTGATAAGGCAATGCTTGACACATAAACTTTGCTTCACATCCTTCATCTTCTTCTCAACTACTACAAATTTACCTTTTCCAGTATAGCCTTTAAATTTACCTTTACTTGTGTTGGATACCAAAAAACAAAACAAAACACAGTAACATGCCACTTCTATTATTTCACCTGTTTGTCCTTTATCTCTTCCTACCCCCACTGCCCAAGGAATATGTAGCTCAGTGTGCCTTTGGGTCTTAATGAATTTATACTATATAGGATTTGGAACCAGCAGACTGGTCAGAGTGGCTGTGTGATCTTGGGCAGATTAGTTAATCTGCCTGTGCTTCATATGTTCCATTTATTAACTTAACAAATATTTATTGATTGCCAGATGCAGTGATAAACAAGGCAGATATTTAGTCCTGTCTTGATGGAGCCCACAGTCTGTCTTACAGAGCATGTGTGAAAATTAATGGTGCAACAAAGTAAAATAATAGTACAAGAGAAAGCTGTTTGGCTTTGAATCCAAATGAATATTCTTTCTAAATCCTGGTTCTGCCATGTGTGTCTTGTTCCTCAACTGTTTACCTTTTATAAAATGGATATTATAGTACCTGTCTTGATAGTTTTGTGTGCATTAAATAAGATAATGAGTGTAAAGCACACAGCACATAGTACTCAATGAGCAGCTGTTATTATACATTTGGTAGTGCTTTGAAAACTGCACATATAATAGATACTGTTAATGTTGCCATTTCTTTTGCCCCTTTTTCCCACATGGCAAACAGTCACTTCTCATGTTTGACATCTAGCCATCCCTAAACTGGTGTAATTGAGCAAGTCTCTTTCCTTGCTTTATAACTGATAACATTTCCTGCTTCAAACCTGTTTTTTGGGGGTTTTTTTGGCTTTTTTTTCCAGTACCGGGAAACGAACTCATGACCGTGTGCTTGCCAGACAGGCGCTGTGCTGCTGAGCTAAATCCCCAAGCCCTCAAACCTGTTTTTTAATCTTTGCTCTCCTTTTGTGTTACAGTATGGCTATGTGATTGGAGGTTCTGCCCAGCTACTCCACTAGTTTGAATAAATGAATCTTGAATATTTTCTGTTTTGTTATTCCTTTTCCTCACTAGCACAGACAGATTCTTTTCCTATAAGTGATTGGAGTTAATCTGATTAGTCTGAATATTTCCAATTTTTAGAAATGTTGGCTTAATCTTCATATTAGTTCCTTGTGGCTTCTGTAATAAATTATCATAAACTTGACATCTTAAAACAACAGGGATGTATCCTCCCACTGCTCTAAAGGCCAGAAATCTGAAACCAGTGCTGCTGGGCTAAAAACCAAGGTATTGGCAAGGTTGTGCTTCCTTCCAGAAATTCTGGGGAAGAATCTGTTCCTTGATACTTGCATTCCTTGACTTGCGATAGCATCTCTCCTCTCTGCTTGTGTGGTAGGGGTCTTTGCTTCCTCTTTGTTTTATCAGATCTGAGCTCCCTCCCGTACAGATAACCTAGGATAATCTGCCTATTTCAGATTCCTTAATTTAAACACAACTGTGAAGTCTTTGTCAAATAAGGTAACACTGACAAATTCCAAGGATTAGATATGACCATCTAGACAGGGGTCATTGTAAAGTTTACCATAGTCCTCTACTAAAATTACTGTTACTTCATATCACTCTCTTCCAAAGAGAATGTGCACTATAGGCTCTTCATGGGTGCCTTTAAGAAACTGAAATATCAGGTAAAATATTGTTAACCAATTTCCCTATTTTCCGTAATAACTTTAATTAAGCTGGTTCAGCCTATTCTAACAAACCTATGTTATCAAAGAGAGCCCTTGGGGCTGGGGATTTAGCTCAGCGGCAAAGCGCCTGCCTGGCAAGCGCAAGGTCGTGAGTTCGGTTCCCGGTACCGGAGAAAAACCAAAAAAAAAAAAAAAAAGAAAAAAAAGAGAGCCCTTTTACTCACCTCTCAATTTCTTTCTTTCTTTCTTTTTTAGATGTGGTCTCTCACTATGTACTTCAGTCTGGCCTTGAACTCACATCAGTTCTCCGGCTCAGCCTCCCAAGTGCTGGGATTACAAGCATGTGCTGGGGTTCTTTCATTATTCTTGTGATGTAATTTTTTCCTGTAGTTTCATTTGTTAATTTTTGTTTTTGTTTTTTGGTGCTGGGGATTGAACCCAAGGCTTTAAGCATGCTAACTATATGCTTTACCACTAAGATACACTCTTAGCCTCCATGTGTTATTTAACATATCAAACATTTCTGTTAAAGGATTTGTAGTGGAATAGGATTCCACTAAATATTCTTCTAACAGTAAAGACCAAAGTATTCTCTTTTGGGTTGTTATTCAACATCATGGTATTAGCACTTTCTTGTTCCTTTCAGCCCAGCATCTGTCAGTGATTTTCAGAAAGCAATTATATCTGTCAAATGTGCATGCCTTCCACCTCAGTCATCTTTAATTATCTTTATGCGAATCACTGTATCCATGGTTCCTTTCTGAAAATCTGATTTAAAAAACAATGGGTACCCATGCCCCTATATGTACATATAATTGTATTTAACAGTTTGGAGGCAGATTGTTAACCCTCATGAAGCCCAACCATGGATTAGACATTAGTCCCTGAATTAAGTTTTCTGGATTTGAAAGAACATTGGCTTCAGGATATTCAGATTAATCCCCCCAGGTCTGTCATGGCTGTGTGACCTTAAGCGAGTCATCTGCCCTTTCTTAGTATAAGATGATGTCTGAAATTCCCTCCAGCAGTAAAAGTTCTTCTATTTCCATTTTAAAATGCAGATCACAATTAATTGCTTTTCTCTTGACCTGGTTTCTCATTTCACACTCATATTTCTGAAATAGACCCCCCCATTTTCTTTGGCTTTAACTAATTAAAAAATAATCCTAGCCTGGCATGGTGTTGCACCCCTGTAATCCTAGCACTCGCGAGGCTGAGGCAGGAGGATCCTTGTGAGTTCAAGGCCAGCCTGGGCTACAAAATGAGTTCAAGACCAGTCTGAAATGCATAGTGAGACCCTGTCTCAAAAAGACAAAAAAAAAAAAAAATCCTATGCTTTGTGCCAAGAGGCATTTAACTGAATACTAACTGGACATATGCTGTTTAATAGGACCATCCCAATTATGGTGCTGTCCTCCCCTTCTCCTTTATTTCACTGTTCTCCCTGTTGTTTGCGTGTCAGGAGAGCTGTCACCCAGTGCATTGTGCCAAATCATCTCAAAGAGGGAACTGGAGCCGAAAAGATCTCAATGGAAAGAACAGAGATGGCTAAACTTCGTGGGCAGTAGTGACCTTTGAAGAATCCTTGCCAAAACCAAGGGTGGGAAAGAGTGTTTCCTTTTCATGCTGTCTTTCAGTAGAAGAATGAACAGTCTAAAAAGTCAGCTAAATACAGAGCATTAGAAAAGAGCTTATGCTGCTTTTCAAACTCTGGCTTGGTATATGAGGTCCTGTTTTAGTTACAGAGCAGATGAGATAACTTGTTGTTAGCCACTAGATTTTGAACACCTTGCTGACAGGGACTGTGTGTTATTCTTTGCACCCCTAATGACTGCAATAGTGGTCTGGACCTATTGAGTGCTCAAATTTTGGCTTAATGAAAATGCACTAATCGGATCTCTTGCTTTGGTGAGCATAACTGACTGACAATCTCAGCTGCTGCCCTTGTAGATTAATCACCCCTTATATACTGAGGCCACACTTGGTGTACATTGCCACCACAGTGACTAAGCACAGAGGGGATAGCAATGCCTGTATATCGTGGTGAGATGTGGAATTTGTTTGTAATTAGGACTTCCTATTGGCTTGACCAAGCCTGAGACGCGCATCTAAGCCTCCTTCCTTCCCCCTTCCACATGTGTCAGACCTTCCCTGTGATCTGAGGTTTTCCCTGACTTCTACTTCTCCAGTAACCCTTTTGCATATCTAGCCCATCTTGGTGTCTTCTTGACAGACCTAAACTAATGTAACATGTTGTAATTAAGAGTAGGAGAGAGTTTGTGTCGCAAGATACCAGAGACCATGTGTGATAATTTCATATGATGCTTTAAAGACAGAATGTTTGGAACCTTACAGTCAAAATGATCCTTTCCAAAGGCAAACTGATCTTATCCTTTCTAAGATCCTTCAGTTGTTTCCTGTTTGTCTTAGCATAAAGCCAGTACTCTACTATGACCTAAAAGGCACACTCCGCCCTGTCCCTGTTCCTTTTGCAACCTCACATTATACTTCCCCTCACTTTCTCTTTTGTTGTAGCCACAATGGCCTTCATTTAGTCCCTTTATTCACCATAGTGGCTGATATCACAGCGTTTGTATATGCTGTTCCTTATGCTCAGACCACTATTCTCTCACCTCTTGTCTACTGAATTCCTACTCATACCTCAGCTTAGATAGCACCACTTCTCAGTAGCTTTCTTTGACCTTCTTACCTACGTCAGGTACTCCTACATATCCTGCTACCTGTTCTTCCTTTATAATATTTATCACAGTTAAACTTTTATGTATGTTTTATTTTTAAATTTTTATTTCTATTAATACATGTTTGCAGTACATGATTACACTCATCATGGGGAATTGGTACATATACATAAGTGTTTATTATTATTTTGTTACTGTCTTTCTACCTCTTTACACTGTAGGCTATATAAACAAAAGGAGCTGTGCATGTTCTTGCTCTCTATTGTAACCTAGAATCTAGCACATAGTCTGGCACAGAGTAGGTACTCAATACCTACTTGTGAAATGATTGAATACAGTATCAGGCATGGAGCTGGACTTCACCCTCCTTACAAGTAATACGTTAGCCAATTACTATTTCATAGATGCTAGTCAAGAGATCTCTGGGTCAGAGATAAAAGAACATATGATGTTCATAGCATAGCAAATAGCATAAGCATCATATGGTCCCCTTGCCTCTCAAGTCTGATGCAGAGGGCTCAGGTGGATTCTTGCCCAGGCTATGGATTACATCATAAGAGAGACACCCTGAGCTTAGGGAACCTGCCTAAGAAGGTAAGCAGTAATTTTGTAAAAAGCAGTAAGCAGGCTTCATCTTTGTCCCAGAGGGACACGTCACCTCATCTGTCAAGGTTTCTTGCTATAAAGACAGTCCTGATTTAAGATTATTGGCTGTGGAACTAAGACTACCTGAGTTTGATACTTATCCCGCTACTTTCTAGCTGCTATAGCCTCGGACAAATTATTTAAACCCTCTTTGTCTAATTTCCTTCATCTGTAAAATGGGGATAACAAAAGTACCTGCATTATAAATTTATTTATTTATTTATTTATTTAGACACAGGTCTTGCTGTGTAGTTCAGGCTAGCCTTGAACTCACCACGTAGCCTAGGCAGACTTTAAACTTGTGGCAGTCCTCCTGCCTCAGCCTCCCAAGTACTGGCATTATACGCATGTGCCACTACACCCCACGAAGTTTATTTTCAAATGGGCAAAATACTACATACAATTCGGTACCTACATTCGATAAATGTTAGTACTTATTGTGAAAGGATATTGTCCTAGGCCAGCTGACCAACTGAGGAATAATTACGTCATTAGGTGGTGATAATGATCTGCTGACCTTGGAAACTGTGCCACCAATATTTAAATTATTTTCCTTTGGTGTCCAGGACTAATCAAAGTGTGAACTAGTAAAGAGAGAGGAGGGCATGCATACTGTGGTCTTCCTATACAATTAACGTCAGTCTGGGTTTGTTAATTTAAATGTTGTTAAATATTGACGGATATGGAGTTAAAGGACTCTTAAATGTAGGCTAAGGTTACTGGTATCACACTGAAACACAGTGCCACCTGCAGGTATTCTCCTTGCTGAACTTAACTACTTTTCTTTTAGTGAACGTGGTGGAGGCACTGCAGGAATTCTGGCAGATGAAGCAGTCTCGTGGGGCCGACTTGAAGAATGGGGCTCTGGTGGTCTATGAGATGGTTCCTTCCAACAGCCCTCCCTATGTCTGCTATGTCACCCTGCCTGGGGGAAGTTGCTTTGGGAGTTTTCAGGTAAGAGTTGTGAGGCAGCAGTAGTAAACAAGAAGCTTAGGTACCAATAAGGACTTTTTCTATTGCTTTCATCATTACTGTATATCTCTGCTGAAATTACATATTTGAGGACCTAAACCAATTCTGAGAAAATTCACTCTGGCAAGCATCTGAAGCTCAGTAGATCATGAAAGAACTTCAGTAGTGTGCTTTTCTTTCCATCTGCCAAAACTCAGACCCATTTTGAATTTGAGCAGTTATGAATGTGCTCTTGAGTAGTATATCAGACTACCAGTAGGGAATATTCACTTGCTTAGTATTTCAGCTTGCCTTGTTCTGCTCTGGCTTCTGTCCTTGCATTCTAACTGCCTGCTGTCTCTTCTTGAGGTCCTACAGCAATATTCCATGTCCCCCAGTATTGTTTCCTAGGGAGTTAATAAAGAAAGCAATGTTTGAAATAGATTACATTCTTTTTCTGTTTGTTTGTTTGCAATACTGAGGATCAAGCCCAGGGCCTTGAAAATACTAAGCAAGTGGTCTACCAGTGAACCATGTGCTCAGCCCTAGATCATGCTGTTTCTAAAGTCTTTCTGTTACTAACATTCTACAATTCTATGGAAGACTTATGATGATAAGAATAGTTGCTATTATGGGGCAGTGGGAAATTATTATGCAGTAGTGTGAATATGGTAATAAAATCTATTTTTTACATTGTAGAAAGGAAATCACCCTTCTGAAATGTCAACTTAGTCTAAATGAGAATTTAGAGAAGATAATAAGCTGGACGTGGTGGCACACACCTGTAATCCTGGCACTCCAGAAGCTGAGGCAGGAGGATTGCTGTGAGTTCGAGACCAGCCTGGGCTACAAAGTGAGCTCAAGGCCAGCCTGAACTGCATAATGAGACCCTGTCTTAAAAAAACCAAAAAAAAAAAAAAAAACAAGAGAGAGAATTTAGAGAAGATAATAGATATATGTGTTCAGATTTTCATATGGTTTATATAACCCTTAGACAAGATTAGACCTCCTTGCTTTGTGCTTCTTTAGTGCTGTGCCTTGAATCTCTCTATCACATCACTTATTATAGCTTATCATAACTGTTTGTCTCTCCAAGTGGACTAGCCTGTATAGAAGCAGAGATTGTATCTGTTTTTTTAAGTGCTGAGGTTTGAGCTGAGGTAGACACATGCTGAGTCTACTTTCTTACTCAGTATTAAATCTCTCCCACCCAATTCAGAGCCCAGCACATAGTAGGCACTTAGTATGTCTGTTGTACGAATGAGAGCTACTGAAGTTCAGCTCCTGCCTCAAAGGGAAATAGTTTGAGGATGCTTCATTTCACATCAGGTGACTAAAAGATTCTCCTCAGAACCTCAGCCGTTTCACAGAAATAAATGTATGCTCTGGATGACTAAATGTTCATGCCTTCTCTTATTAGAGAATAAGATTTTTCCTTCTTTCTCTCACCTCATCACAGTGTTCAATGATAGTCTGGTAATTTTATGATGGTGCTCATAATTGACCCATTATAGTCATTTGATTTATTTCCTGAAAGAGTAGAATTATCTGTCTTGGCCTCTGCTAGCTTATGTATCTTATACCCACTTTGTTTTTTGTTTTTTTTTTTTTTTTAAATTTTAAAGAGTAAAAGAAGGATAACATAGTAATGGGGGGCTTACCAAATTACAGACAAAGTGGTAGGAAATTATCAATGGTTATTGTTTTACATATTGTTATCTACAAGATAGTTTCTCAGGAAAACAAATAGACAAATAATAGTGAGTTACAAACAAAAGAGGTAGGAGATTATCAATAGTTGTACTATACTTTGGTATCTTCAAAGTGGCTTCTAAAGAAAATAAATAGAGCTATACATGAGTGACCTATTGAATAGTCATTAGCTATTCTCAATGGTTGTTGTAGGAAACACATAATAATAAACATGCATCCATTTACGAAATAGAATAGGAACAATACAGACATTACAGAGTTATGGACAGATTAGTAAGAAAATATCAATGGCTGCTGTCATACATGGTGGTATCTTCAAAGTGGTTTCTCAGGAAGACAGAGATACGCAAGAAGGATCTAACAAGTAGTTATAGCCTAAGGGTTGTCAAATATAGCATATTACTTCCTCACCAGTGACTCCTGTCACTGAGGTGTGATGGCTGGAAGGAAGGCCAGGATTGAAAAGAAGGACCAAGAGACTTGCACCTGTGTCTAGCAACAGGCTGTTTTCTTGTTCCTCCATAGTCATGATTACCCAGAGCTCCTCCATGGGGATGATGGTCTGGCCAGAGGGAGAAGGCAGAGTATGCCCCGGGCCCTCATTCCTGTTGGACTAACTGGTAGGATGGGTCTGATCTCTGGGGCCTCCGCTTCAGAGGGCAGACTGATCTCCAGTGGTCACCTTTGCATTCAGGGCATGGCCCATGGGGCCTCTTAGTGCAGTTCCTCTTGAGGTGGCCTGGCTTTTAACAGTGATAGCAGATGAATGCAGTCCTCGAGTTCTTCTTGGGGCCCCGGGAATCAGACTTGGGGTCTGTTTCTCTTAGTGCTATAGCAAAAGCAGCTGCTTTTTCTCAGTCTCTTTGTTTTCTCTCCTTGGCCTCTTCCTTGTCATGGCTATAGAATAATGAGGAGGCAATTCTTACTAACATCTCAAGTGAGCCTTCTGGGGCAAAAGCCATTCTTTGTAGCTTTTTTTCTCCAACCTCCCGTCGCATTGGGACCCCACGACCAGTTAGTTAGTGTCTTCTCCCCAACTGTCAGCACAGGCAGCAGGAATCTTGCTGCAGACCTCTCCGGGGCTCCACCACAGTCTGTACTGACAGGGGAAGAATGGCTTCTAGGGAGTCTCCCCAGGTATTTTGCAAGGTCCTCCTGGTTTACAGCTTCCGAACGGCTCTCATGACCCCAGTCCACAGGACCTCTGACTCCTCAGGCTTAGTCTGTATTCTCATGTTCTCCGAGTCCTTGTTCAGCAGCTGCTCCTCCACTGACTGTGGACCTTTCTGGCTTTCAACGGCAGAAACAAGAGTGACCCGTTGTGTGCCATGTATTCCCAGGGGTTTCTCCATGTTTGAATGATTTACTCACATCCGTGGGTGGGCATCTGCAGCCAGTGCATGGTGGGCAAATTGTGTCATTGTTTCTCTGTGTCATGGTAGTTCTCAATTGAGTGGCAGCACCCGGCTTGAGGGCTGGCACGCGACAGCGCTCCCTGCGTGTGGCTTCCCGTGTGCTGGAACCCCTCCTCCCAGGCTCCTACTAGGCTGGAGGCCGACCCAAGGGCCAGCGCTCCCTGCCCCATGGGTCCCGGGCACTGGGGGCCCTCCTTCCATGTGCCTGCGAGGCAGGGAGCCGGCCTGAAGCCCAAGGGTCCCCGCCGCGCAGCTTCCTGTGCACTGGAGCCCCTCCTCCCGGGCACCTGCTAGGCTGGGGGCCGGCCCGAGGGTCAGCGCTCCCCTTATACCCACTTTGGCAAGTGAATTTTTTCTTGGTGGTTTTTTTCACATGTGACTTTTTCAGAAATAGCACTATAGAGTGGATAGCAGACTAGCAATAGAGAAGTAGAAACAGAGAAACTAAAGAAGCAAAAGGCTGAGTATGGTGGCACATGCCTGGAATCACAGCACTTGAGAGGCTGAAGCAGGAGTATCACTGTGAGTTTGAGGCCAACCTGGGCTACATAGTGAGTTCAAGGTCAGCATGAACCACATAGCAAGACCCTGTCTCAAAAAACAAAACAAAACAAACAAAAGGACTTAGGGTTAATATGTCAAGTTCAAAAAAATAAAAAGAAAGAAAGAAAAAAAGAAAAGAAGAAAGAAAATGTCAAGCTCCAAGTGCTGTCTCTGAGAGAACTGTAAGCTAAAGTAAATTAGGTATTATTGATAGTGAGGATGGTTAAATAGTGTAATATATCCTATACTTTTTGAAATTACAGTATGACTTTCTTCCTTTCCTCTAGACACAATCAAAAGTGACAAAGAGCACAGAGGCCTTTGAAGCAGCCAGTGATGAGGAATTATAAAGGAATGCTTGGTGACCAGGGATTTTAAGTTGAATGATTTAAAACACTGAAAATCAGTCTTGCCCTATGACATCTATGTCAGATACAAAGTGAAGACATGCGTTGTATTTTAATTTTTTTCTTGCTTTTCTCATGTCAGCTTTCCTTCCCTCTTCTTTTTGCTTCCACTGAAGGGGGCAGGGAAGACTATAAATTTCTTCTTCAGACTTAGACCCTGTTGAGGGAGAGCTGCTTTGGCTCACTGCATTATTTGGTAAATTGCCTGTTCACAGCTAAAAGTAAAGGCTAAGATCCAGAGGGTGCTTCTGATGGAGACCAGAGGCCTCCTCTGCAGAAGCAGCCTAAACATAGCTTTGTTCAAGTCTTGGGTTATGTAGAGAAATCCAAAGAAAACCTTGCCTGTCTGCAGAACAAGAGAACAAGATACAGATTTCCAGCAAGCTGGCCAGAATCTGGCTTTTGAGTAATTAATTCTGTTGACAGTTTAAACAGAGGTATTTTTCATGTCCAGTGGTTATGTGCTGACTTCAGCAGCCCTCCTTATTCTGTATTCAATTTGGCATAGGAGCTGTAGCTGTCTCCAGTTCCTTAATGACTTCAGGATGTTGAATCAAGACTGTTTCCACAAACCCCAACCATTGTACAATAAAAACTTTTCAAAGTGTGTTAAACATAACTGATATATTCAAAAAGTGTCCAAATACCTTCTATCACAAGTGTTTCCCTTCCACTGTTCCTGCCTCTCTCTCAGACACACATCTACACATACTCTCACTCTTTCCCTCCCCAGTTTTGCCCCACAAAAGCCGAGGCCCGGAGGAGTGCAGCAAAGATTGCTCTAATGAATTCTGTGTTCAATGAACATCCTTCCCGAAGAATCACTGACGAGTTCATCGAGAAGAGTGTCTCTGAGGCCCTGGCATCTTTCAATGTAAGTAACTTGGAGGTGGAAGGAGGGAGAGTGAAGGGTGGGAGGACTGGCTGCAGAGCATGAGCGCTTACTTCCTTTTTTGTCTACATCTCTGTTCTTTCTGTTTATTCTGTCAGTTTTCTGCATCATGTGTGCCACATTTCAAGTCTTTAATTTTATAATTCTTTCAGTCTCTAATTCTGTAACTGGGTTTTATATGTTTTTTGTTGTTTTGTCTCTTTGATTGTGGTTTTTTTTTTTCTTTTCTTTAATTGTGTTTCTTTGGTGTCCACACACCTTTAATTCAAGATTTATGGTATTTTAGAGCTATCCAGAAATTCAAGTCATTGAGCTTCAATTTTGCTTTTTTTAAATTTTAAAAATAAAATGAGGAAAACATTAACAGACAGACAACCATTTACAGAAGAACAATACAAACAATACAGAGTTACAAACATAGTGGTAGGAAATTAACAATGCTTGTTGTATTACATATTAATATCTTCAAAGTGGTTTCTCACAATTTTGCTTTTGGTAATTTTGGTTTAAAACTTTAGTCTCTTAGTGTTCTTTTAAAATGTAATTAATTAACTAATCAATTAATTACTTTTAAATTTAATTTTTATTTATTTTTGCAGTACTGGAGATTGAACCAGGGCCTTACCCCCCTTTTTGAGACAGGGTCTCACTAAGTTGCCAAATTGTCCAAGCTGTGCTTAAACTTGTGATCCTCCTGCCTCAGCCTGTCAAAGTGCTGGGACTGCAGACATGTACCACCATGCCCAGATATGACATTTAGTTTTCTGTGTCTGACTTATTTTGCTTAACATTATGGTCTCACATTCCATCCATTTTCCTGCAAATGGCATGATTTCATTCTTCTTTGTTGCTGAATATATAGATATAGGTATAGATAAAGACATAGATATAATTTTTTAAATGCTATAAAGAAAAGAGGTTTATTGACTCGGGATTACAGTCCAAGGTGAAGGGGCCCACATCTGATATCTTTCTTGCCAGTGAGGTGGCTTAGGGAATCACATGGTGAGAGAGGGAGCTCATAAGAGCTGGATTGTTGTTTTTTTTGTGTGTTTGTTTGATTGATTGATGTTTGTTTCTCTTTTGCAGTGCTGCATTCTTCCACTGAGCTACATCCCTAGCTTTCTTTTTTTTTTTTTTTTTATCTTTTTGAGACAGGGTCTCTAAGTCACTAAGTTGCTTAGGCTGGATTCAAACTTGGGATCCTTCTGCCTCAGGTGTGTACCACGTGTGTGCCACTGAGCCTGGCAAGAGCTGTCATTTTTAAAAATGACTGCCTTTATTGTTACTTGTCTCTTGCCTCCACTACTTCATCTTATTAATAGAGAGCACCTTTATTATAGTGTCTTGTCTTTTTTCCCTTTTAGGAATGGGAAGGGTCATTTATTTATTTATTTTAAAAAGAACATCTGCTTTTTCAAATCATGATGATGATGATGGTAATAACCATAGTGAACAGGCACCTCTTTAAGTGATTTACATATACTTGATCTCCTTTGATCATCACAACAATCCTATGAGGTGTAAGTACTATTTTACCCCTGTTTTCCAGATAAGGAGACTAATCCCAGAAGTGAAGTTTTGTTTAATGTGATATAGTGAGTAAGCGGTAGAGCCACAATTACATATACTAACTTGCTTTATTTATCTACTTCATTAATTAATTTTTTTTTCTGGTACCGGGAATCGAACTCATGACCTCGCACTTGCCAGGCAGGTGCTGTGCCATTGAAAATCCCCAGCCCTCATGTGTTAATTTTTGAACACTTTAAATCATAAGTTGGCTTTCCCTCTCTTACTGAGAACATATCTGTTTTTCTCCAATTTTTCCTTGCCCTAATCAACAGCATATTTAGGGAAAAATTTTTTTAGTCAAACCCAGTTAAAATCAGGAAGTACGTTTGCCACTGTTAAGTCACCTGATGATATAAAGTCAAATATTAATTTCGGTTATAGAAAGCAGGATGTGCAGTAGTTATGAGCGTGGGCTCTTAATTCATTGTACTGAAATTATGGTTCTACCAATTACATACTTAGAACAAGTAAGTGTCAATTTCCTCATCTGCAAACAGGATAGAAATTATGTTACATGGAGTTACTGGGTAAAAGAGATATTTAAGCACTTAGCACATGATACCTCTTTAGATACCTGTGGATGCAATAACAGAAAAAATCTCACTTCAAGTTGACTTAAGGAAATAAAGGAAGAAAATTCATTATCTAACATGACAGTAAGTGCAGAAGTAGGGCAGCTTTCAGGGCTAGCTGACTGCATAGGTTGAGAATGTCATCATCTAAAGCTGAGCATAGTGGTATGCACCTGTAGTCCCAGAGAGCTGGGAGGCTGAAGCTGGAGGGTTACTTGAGCCCAAGAGTTCCAGGGAAGCCTGGACAGCATAGCAGGACCTCACTGCAAGCAAGCAAGGAAGAAAGTGAGTATGGAAGGAAAGAACAAAAGGAAGGAAGGAAGGAAGCAAAGGAGGAAGAGGAAGGAAGAGAAGGAGAGAGAGGACGGAGGGAAAAAGGGAGGGAGAGACAGACAGACAGACAGAAGGAAAAAAAGAAAAAGAATGTCATCATCTATTGGTCCAGATTCTTTCCATCTCTCCACTCAGCTGTCTCCTAGATATTGGCTTTATCTTTGCATTGGCTCCCCTCAGAGTGCAAGATGGTTACAGAATTTTAGATATTAAATACAGGAAAGAGGTTATCATCTTCTCTTATTAGTAAGGAATCCTTTCCCCAAAGTCCTCCCACAAGATCTTCTTTCAAGTTCCCATTGCTAGAATTCCCACTTTAAACCAGGCAGCCATACGTGCCTGTTCCAGCTACTCGGAAGGCTGAGGCAAAAGTGTAACAATTTCAAACCCAGTCTGGGCAACTTAGCAAGACCCTCTCTCAAGTATAATAATTTTAAAAGGGCTGGCGATATAGCTCAGTGCAAAGGCACTGGGTACAATCCTGTACCCTCAAAAAAGTTGGGGGAGGGGGAAGATGTAGCTCAGCAGTGGAGTGCTTGACTAGCATGCCTTGGGTTCAGTCTCCAGCACTGCACAGCAAAACAACAGAAACAAAATTCCTATCTTAAATCAGTGGCAAAGAGAAATAGGGTTCACAAATTGCAATAAAGTCACTCTCTTCTGAGGTAGATGAGAGATGGGTGATCATTAAACAAGGTTCTACAGTCAAGAAGAAAAAAAAAGATGTTGGATGAGTTCTCAGCAGTGTCTCTTACAAAGTATTTTAAAAATGGGAACCTGTGTTAGTGTTTCAGTTCCACTGATCCTCTTTGATTAACCCTCCTGATTTGAGAATTTAATGGATTTCTCTTCAGTTTCCCAGTGGAATTTCCATTCACCAAAAGAACAATTTTCATTTGGTCATAGCTGTGGATAAAGAGTGAAGCCCACATTACTTACTTTTTTTTTTTTTTTTTTTTTAAGACAGGGTCTCGCTATGCAGTTCAGGCTGATCTTGAGCTCACTTTGTAGCCCAGGCTGATCTCAAACTCTCAACAATCCTCCAGCCTCAGCTTTCTGAGTGCTGGGATTACAGGTGTGCGCCACCATACCCAGCTACTTTTTTGTTTCTAAAGGTACTGAAAATGAGGCTAAATTGTACTGTGTCTTTTGACAAATCACCTAGCTTCAGTGGGTCTGAGTTTTCTCATTTGTGGAATAAGTTGGTTGCATTAGATTATCTCTTAACGGGGCTGGGGATTTAGCTCAGCAGCAAAGTGCCTGCCTGGCAAGTGCAAGGTTGTGAGTTCAATTCCCGGTACCGGAAAAAAAAAAAAGATTATCTCTTAACTTCCTTACATTTATATCCTAATTTACTTGTCCAGTATTGTGTGAGCAAATGTTTGTTGAATAAATGGAATTGGTTTAACCATCGTAGCTGTAAACGTGTGAATCATGATGCAGAACTTTCTTACTGATAGATCATGCTACTGTTGTGTAGGATAAGTTGTAGGTGTGCAATGATACTGAATCCTCTAAACTTCAGGAGACTGGAGAAGGCCTGGGGCAGCTGGCCTTCTCTGCCTGAAATCACTCTGGTCACCACCAGCCTCCTCTGTATATCCTAGTTGGCTATACAGACATGACCATTACTTTATGTTGTCATATCATGGAAACATTTGGGACACACTAAATTATGTTGAAGAATTACTGTCAAAAATGAAAAGGTTCTTGCCTCAGATCCCTAAAACCTAATTTTGAAGATTACTTTTTTCATTCCTTCCATTTAAAGCCCCTCCAGCTGCTGGGTGCTTTGGCACACATGGTAATCCCAGCACGCAGGAGGCTGAGACAGGAGGATCACTGCTAGTTTGAAATTAGGGTGCTCTATGTAGTAAGTTCAAGACCAGTCTGGACTATATAGTGAGATCCTGTCTCAAAAAAACAAACAAAACAGGCTGGGAATTTAGCTTAGCAGCACAGTGCCTGCCTGGCAAGCACAAGGTTGTGAGTTCAATTCCCGGTACTGGAAAAAAAACAAAAAATAAATAAATAATAAACAAACAAACAAAACAAGCTTTTCCAGCTTTTCCTTCTAAATCCAAATCTTGGGACTTTGCTTCACCACAAAAATTAATTACATGTGTGTCATGATTGTTTCTCATGAGCCACAAATAATTTGGGTTGATCTTTAGCAGTTTTGACAGTTGATTCTAGGAGAGTAACAATAAAGAAGAATACGAAGCTAACATTTGTGGTGCATTTACTAAGTACTTGGGGTTATTTTAGCCGTGATACATACCCATGAAGAGTTCCACGATAAAACTAACTATGGATATAGCCTGATGGCTCTTCACCTCTAGCCAGTACCCTTTTCAAAGAATGCAGAATAAAGTGCTTATTTTGGCATTTTGGAACATACGGAACTGGCTAGAAGGAGCAGGCAACTTCTGAGAAAGTTGGGTCCTTCTCTTCTCAGGAGTTTCTTGGTCCGATTTAGATCAGATTGACAAAAGGGTCACTACCAAACCAGGAGATGCTCTAGTTTGCAAGCTCTAGCCAGCTTCATGGTCTGGAATTATCCCCAATAAACCAGAGAGAAAATCACTACCAAATGTCACCAAAACATTACCAGTCCCAGGACAGATCTGAACTGTGTAATTGGACACCAGGTCCAGTACAGTAGAGCACCTATATTTTATATGATTGGTTTTTAGACCACAGGTATCTCACTAATTTTTTCTTAATTTAGAAAATGTATTTAATTCTCAAAAAACCCTATAAGGTAAGTCTGTGATTATTCCTATTTTACAGATGAGGAAACTAAGAAACAGAGACGTTAAATGACTCCCAAAGGCCACATGACTAACAGGAGCTCTGATCCATCCTCCTAATTTTTATATCAGATTGTGTTTTGCACATTCTAGGTTTGCAGGTTGGACATTATGTCCACCTCTGCAAGGTCATAAAGACAATAGAAGACATACTAGGCAAATGTCCAGGAGGCCCAAGTAGAGATTTCCCCATGTTTATGACTCCTACAGTTTCCTTTTCAAATGCTCAGTTGTTCTCTAGGCTAGTCTGATCCTGTACACCTAACTCAGTCTTTTATTTTGGGTGAATCTCAGTTGTTCTTTGTGCCTTAGTGTTTCCCCTTTGTAAAACAGGGTAAATCAGAGCTAGACATAGTGATACATACCTGTAATTTTAGCACTTTGGAGGTTGAAGCAAGCTTACTGACTTAGCAAGACTCTGTCTCACAATAAAAAAATAAAAAAGGGACCAGGCATGGTGGCACACACATGTAATCCTAGCATTGGGAGGCTGAGGCAAGAGAAACATTGCAAATTTGAGGCCAGCCTGGATTACATAGTGAGTTCAAGGTCAGCCTGAACTCTACATAGTGTGATCTGCCTCAAAAAACTGAAAAAAAGGAGGCTAGGGATGTATGTCAATGAGAGGCACTGGATTCAATCCCCAGTAATGGGGAAAAAATGTTTATACTGACTACAGCTGAAAGATAATATTGTGAATATATTTCATTAAAGTATGCTTTTTAAAATTAATTTTACTTTTTTTATTATACAGTGGCAACTAGAAAACTTAAATATATGGCTCACATTATATTTCCACTGAATAGTGCTGCTCACAATGATAATGGTGATTGAACATCTGTTTGTCTTTTCTGGTCCTCTGTTACCAGGGCAACAGGGAGGAAGCTGACAACCCAAATACGGGAATTGGTGCCTTCCGATTCATGTTGGAATCTAACAAGGGCAAGTCTATGTTGGAGTTCCAGGTACTGTTCCACCTACTCCCCTGGCTCTGATCACCTGGGTCAGCCTAATACCTTGTAACTCACTGATACTGAAAAGGAAAGGAAAGAAGGTTGTTAGAATATTTTTCAAAATCCAAATACCTTCCTTTCTCCAAGGGCATATTAGAGTTAATGATTAGAGATGCTTCTGCAGATACATTTTGTAAAAAGTTCTTCTCCATATCATTCTGATAGTCTCCTAATATAAAAATCATTGTCATGGTACTTCATATCTTCTTCCCCCAGGAGCTAATGACAGTATTTCAACTGCTGCACTGGAATGGCAGCCTTAAAGCCATGAGGGAAAGACAGTGTTCTCGGCAGGTAAGAGATCTTATGGCCTATGGGAATAGTGTGGAAAGACTTTTTTTTTTTTTTGGTCTTTTTGAGACAGGGTCTCACTGTGCAGTTCAGGTTGGCCTTGAGCTCACTTTGTAGCCCAGGCTGGTCTTGAACTCACAATGATCCTGCTGCTTTAGTCTCCCGAGTGCTGGGATTACAGGCATGTGCCACCACGGCCAGTGGAAGGACTACTTTGAGGTAGCTGTTATATTAGAAATAAGCAAGCATATGGTCATCTGGTTATAAATATTTAAAGCCTTAATTTCAATATTTAAAAGGGGCTAGGTGTGGTGGCACACACCTGTAACCCCAACACTTGGGAGGCTGAGGCAGGAGAATCACTGTGAGTATGTAACCCAGGGCAGCCTAAGTTACATAAGCAAGTTCAAGGTTAGTCTGAACTACATAGCAAGACTTTGTCTCCAAAAAAAAGTTTTTTTTTTAAGGGGCTCTCCACCCCAATAATCTTTCTTATTTAAATCTTCACTGGGATACTTTGCTTGCCATGCTTCCCTACCAGGGAGTTTCTTTTAAGAAGTTCCTTGTAAGAAAGCTGTTGAGCTGGGCGTGGTGGCGCAAGCCTGTAATCCTAGCACTTGGGAGGCTGAGGCAGGAGGATGGTTGCGAGTTCGAGACCAACCCGGGCTACAAAGTGAGCTCAAAGCCAGCCTGAACTGCATAGCGAGACCCCGTCTCAAAAAGACAAAAAATAAATAAATAAATAAAAGAAAGCTGTTGATTTCAGTTAGAACTCTGAGGCTTTGAGTACCTACTTCCAGTTGGATCAGTGTGGTATGACATGAACCTTTACCTTCTCAGTGATCTTCGCGTTCCCCTCCCCAACTAGGAGGTGTTGGCTCATTATTCACACCGGGCCCTGGATGATGATATTCGCCACCAAATGGCCTTGGACTGGGTGAGCCGGGAGCAGAGTGTGCCAGGGGCACTGTCTAGAGAGCTGGCCTCTACTGAACGGGAGCTGGATGAAGCTCGGCTGGCAGGCAAGGAGCTGCGCTTTCACAAGGAGAAGAAAGATATTCTCATGCTGGCTGCTGGGCAGTTGGGCAATATGCATTCCTCCAACTGCTAGGCACCTTTCCTCATGTTCCCCATCCTTGCCACACCCTTTTTGTATGTCTCCTTTCTAAGACTTAGGATGATTTCTGTATATAATTTCTCAATTTTATACTTTAAAAAATATATATGTATAACTTCTATACCTGGATTCCTATTTACTAAGAGATCCCTTTTCTAACTTCCAGTTTGGGGATGGTTTCAAATGAAACATCTCCATTCCACTTTACAAGAAAGAGTAGTCTGTCTCTAGAGCGTTGTTGGCTCTTACACTTCCAGACAAAGGCTCTAGTCATTTCAGCAGCACAGCCTAATTGACTAAGTGTTCATATGCTATTTCCTTCTTTTAAAAGAACAGTAGACTGGAGGAGGACTGGATGCCCCACCCTCAACTTCATTCTTGCTTTCTCTTGTACTCAAACAGGGTATGTGTAAGAAGCCTTTGGCTTTGGTTTATCTCAAGCTGGATCTGTGTGGTATCCTTTCTTTCCCCTCTAGTTCCTTACTTCTTCTTTGCCTCCAAAAGCTCCTTTATTTTGAGGCTTTCTTACCTTATTACACAGAAGATAGTAGAGCTGTGGTAAGAAATTCTTAAATTGCTCCTGAGAAGCTGCCTGGGAACAAGAGAATTCTAAACATAACTCATGGGGTTATTATCTAAGTTGCTTCTGGGGCTTATATACACCATTCCAGCATTCCAGACTGCTAGATGTACTCTACAATAAGAAGGGAATCAAGTTTGATGCTATCATTCAGTGTTCCCTTTTCACTTCTCCCCTGCTTGCTCAGCTTAATTAAGCCTCATATTTAAACCTTCCCACCCAGAGCTTTGTGGAGAGAAAACGCCCCGCACCACGCCCCATCATTTTGCTCTGTGGAAGCAATAGCTATTCTACACAGCAAGTAAGGGCCAAGGTCCTCTCACTTCCACTAAGTTGCTGCTGTCTACCCCTTTAGATGTATGTGTACCTTAGATTCTCGTCTGTTTCTTCCTTCCCTGTTCTTCACATTCATTATTTGAGCATGAGTTAGGAAAACTAGATGAGACTTTGGTTTTATGCAACTTCCTCAATGAAACTTTAGAAGACTGCAGGAAGGGAAAGAACCAATGATCTGCTATCTGTGTTTCTGATACGGTTGTCCTCTCCCACCTTTCTCTTGGGTGAAGTAAGAGAGAAATTATCTGCAGTAAAACTACAAAATTCTCTCTTGGAGAACTTTTTGGAGAATTATATGTAGTAAGGTATATTTTCCCCTTGTTTCTGTAAGTTCAGTGCACTTTCTAAACTGAGTTTGGGAAGTTTAATGCTCCTGCAGTTGGACTTTCCACTTAACAATGGCATTATTTGCTTTTAAAAGTAGAGTAAGAAAGAGACCATAATTCGCTGTTTGGAGCAAGATGAAAAGGAATTTTCTTGCTTTTGAAATCATCTGGTAACTGCTACATATGAGATCTGAAATAAGGAATCTATCCACAATTGTACTGGTGTTTAAAAGGGGCTCCCTTGATTGTCTAAACATCATCTTTGTATTCTATGGCACACATGTAGGATTGGAGTGGAGGATCCTACAGTAAATAATAGGTGCATCTATTTGTTTTTATTGATTGATACTTATAACCCAGAAATCATAAATCCTCCAGTTTCTCCTCTGCTTCTTTCTCTGGGAAGAAGTGTTAAAAAGTGTTAGTTGTGGGGAGAGTTGTCCTTGAACCTCCAAGGTTTATTATTTTTCTCAAATATCCAAGATCCCAAAGAACTTCAGAAAAACTGTTCCTTAATCTGTCTGCTTTTGGTGTTGATGATTTTACTTCTCTTTTTAGTACTTTTTATGTATTTTGTATGTATAATTTTGTACAATTAAAAATAGATTTTTGTCTAGTGAGCCAAAATGACTCTTTCTTGAGACCTATATATCACAGGAGCTCTATAATAGCGCTATTCATTTACTCATACATTAAATGAGAACTTTCTATTATATTTTGTGGGTGGAAGAAATAAGCTTGCTGGTGGCTAGGAAATGTCAGCCTGCCTCCCCTTCTCCAGACATTTAAGGAGCCTGGATTTTGTCTTTGGCCCCTTCTCCTCAGGCTCTACTCATCCCCACTGTGCTGGCTTAAAGTCCTCTACACGATTGTCAAATCTACTTCTTCCATAAGTTCTTCCAACTTATTTTGAGCTCTTGTATCAACACAGTATGATGGAAACATATAGTGAATGTTTAAATCTTAAAAACCTAGAGGGAAAAAAACCTATAGGAAGAGATACATTGCTATTAATCTCCCTCAAAACATTCCCTCTTCCTTCAAACACACCTGTCCCATCATTGTTACACTTTCTGAAGCAGTTCTGGAAGTCCTTTTTTATGAGTGTCATTAGTTGTGCTTTCATGACTGCTTCAGTGTCCTGAATCAATTCCAAATGTTTACCTTTCCTGGTCATTTTGACTTTGGGGAGGAACCAGGAGCCTCACAGTGCCAGATCTGGTGAATAAAGTTTTTACAAGCCTTTCTTGTCTTTGGATAGCACTGGGCAGCAGCCAGCGTTCACCATCGTTTTGATCATGACTCATAAAAACACTTGTGAAAAAAGACTACCAGAGCTTCAGAATGTGGCAAGGATGGCCGGGCATGCTGGCACACACCTGTAATCTCAGCACTAAGGAGGTTGAGCTAGGAGGATCGCTAAAAGTTCCCAGGCCATACTGGACTATATAGTTCAAAACCAGCCTGAGCTACATAGCAAGACTCTTTCTCAAAATAACAACAAAAAAATTGATTAAGGAAGTGGCAAGGATGATGGGATAAGTGTGCTTGAAAAAAGGTAAGGTATTTTGAGGAGGACTAATGGCAATATGACTTTTATTGTAATAAGTTTTTTAAATGAGCAAGGCATGGTGGTTCATGACTATAATCCTAGCACTCAGGACGCTGAGGCAGAAGGATTGCCATGAGTTCAAGGCCAGCCTGAACTACCTACTGAGACTTAGTCTCAAAAAAACCTCAAAATAAATAAATAAAATCTAAACAATCACAATATGTTTTTATCATCCCTCATATTTTTTCACATGTTGGACATTACTAACCATGTGACTGTGACAAAAGCACTGTGAATTCTCATATCTAAAATAAAACCCATTTCTCTGTACTCCTCTATGACTCCCTAAATCTGTTATTGGAATCACCTACCTATCTTAAGCCAGAAACTTTAAATCAGTTCTCAACCCTTCCCTACCTTTGTCCAGTTGCTTACTGTTGAGCTCACCTCTTATATAAACTCCCTAATCTGTTTTGTCCATTTTTACTGCTCTAGTTCAGTTCTTCCTAATATATGGACTGGACCACTGCAATGCTTCTTCTCTCTCTCTCTTTTTTTTTTTTTCGGTGCCAGGAATTGAACTCAGAACCTCACACTTGCCAGGCAGGTACTGTGCCACTGAGCTTCATCCCCAGCCCCTTAACTAGTTTTTGCATTCATTTTTAATATTCTCCATGTTATGCCTTCTTAAAATATTCATGATTGTCATTCCCTTGCTTAAACTTTCATTGGGTATTTTTATCTTTAGCAGTATTTTCCAAAGCTTTATATATAAACCATTGGTGTTAACTGAAGTGATTTTAGGTGATAGGTGTCACTTTTTAATAATTATGCTTTTGCCAGGCATGGTGGCACAAGCCTGTAATCCCAGCACTCAGGAGGCTGAGGCGGGAGGATCATTGCGAGTTTGAGACAAGCCTGGGCTACAAAGTGAGCTCAAGGCCAGCCTGAACTGCACAGTAAGACCCTGTCTCAAAAAGAAAAAAAAAAAAAAAAAAAAAAAAAAAAAGTTATGCTTTCATTTGAATTTGTGGTAGAAGAGTATTGATTTCCATTTGTAGTAGTAGTATTAAATTTTCCATTTAGTGCAAATTTATGTTTAAGAAATTGGTCTAAGCTAGGCATGGTTTTACATACTTATATAAGCCCAGAACACTGGAAGACTGAGGCAAAAGGATCACAAATTAAAGCTCAGTCTGGGCAATTTAGTAATTTGGCCTGTCTCAAAACAAAATATAAAAAAGTCTGAGGTTGTAGCTCAGTGCAAACTGAGTTTAGTCCTCGGTACTGAAAAAAAGAGAAGAAGGAGGAGAAAGAGGAGCAGGAGGAGAAAGAAGAAAAGGAAAGAAAGAAAAAAATGTAGTCAACATTAGACAAATCTAATAAGGGGGCTGTTTGCAAATGTTAAAATCATGAATACTCAAAATATTTAGAGTTTGTTTTTTAATTTTTATTAGTAAATGTTCACAATATCAAAATATTTGGAAGTAAAGAAAAGTCTTGTTGGTAGGGTAAATTAGCATGGCCACTGGACCCTAAACTATATTTCCAGATTTATTTGCCAGTCACATAACATCAGGCATACAGCATTTCTAGTTATTGTGATAGTCATTTATTCAGAAGTATTTACCAAATGTACTGTGAACTTGGCACTTGTCTAACCTTTGGGGCTATGGTTGTTAAAAAAAAAAAAATCTCTGCTGTAAGGATTACATTATAAGGGAGGGGGAGACCAGACAATAAACAAGTTAGAAAGTAAACAAGGTAAGTAAAGATTCTATGGAGGAAATAGAGTGAAGGATAGGAGGGTAGTGAAGATCCCTTCATGTGACAGTAGTATTAAGACTTAACGGATGAGACTGAGCCAGCTGTATGAAAACCTCTTTCCCTATGTGTTCCAGGCTGACCTTCAACTCAATTTGTAGCCCAGGCTGGCCTTGAACTTGAGATCTGCCTGCCTCAGCCTCCTTAGTGCTAGGATTACAGGTGTGACCCACCATACCCACCCAGAAAGGATTTTAGTAATATGTAAGATCACATTATCTTCAGTGGAGAATGAATTAGTGTCTCCTACTCTCATTATACTTGCTTTGTCTGTAAAACTATTCCTCCTCAGACCTAGTTCAAAAGGCAAGTCTTCCCTATCCCAGAAACTTACTTGGTGTTGCCACTGCACTTTATGGAAGCAATTATCAAATTACATTTCCGTAGTGTAATGATACCATCATTCTGAGTGTTGATAATGCGATTATCCTTTTACTTCCTACACTTCCTCTAACATTAGACACACATAGGCATCGTAACTATTTGATTAGCCCACAGCCCACCATCGTTGAAGATTTACATCACGATTGCAGAATTTGGGGGCAATATGGGTGTTGCCCAACTCATAGGCGTGTTTTTTTGTTTGTTTTTGTTTTTGTTTTTTGAGACATGGTCTCGCTGTGTAGTCCAGGGTGGTCTTGAACTCACTATGTAGCCCAGGCCAGCCTTGAATTCATGGAGATCCTCCTGCCTCAGCTCCCCCTAGTGCTGGATTACAGGCAGTGCTGGAATTACAGGTGTGCCCCATCACACCAGATTCAATTCACAGGATTTTAAAAACATGAAACATCTGTACCAGCCCGAAAGAACAGAAAGCCGCTTTTTAAAGGGCGGACTCCCCCAACTCCCAGTTCCTAGTGGTAAGGCGTTTGAGATTTATTTTTTAAAAAGTTGCGTCTGTCTCACCAATCGAACTCCAAAGGAAATTAGGTCGTTAGTTTCCTTAAAAGTGAACCAGCAGCGCTGACTGCATTCCCCACCCCCGGTCTTGGGGCTGAACCCTTCCCAGCTGAACTTTTTTTAAAATACTTTTATCGTAGGTGGAGTTGCCTCCCTCGGAACACAGTACCAGGAAGCGTAGACATTTTGAGATTTAAAAAAAAAACCAAAACCTTAACTTCCATGTCCAGTTTGAAATGAAGATAGAAAGCAGTCCTCTAACAAGGAAATCAGGCCGGGTTTCACTGCGAGTTACTTCTTCAGAGCTGCCACAGGCAATTAAGGGAAAACCCTTAACTCCGCCCACTCTCCTGGTTTATCCCTCCCAGCACGGCCACTAGCAGCTCGCGACCTGCTCAACATGGCTACAGAAGCACTTCCGGCATCTTTCTTTAAATAGGCCCGCCTTCATTGCGTATTTTCACTGCGTCAAAGGCGGGACTTAGACTTACCCTTTGATTGGTCAGTTTCACTGGCGACCTTTCCCCTCTGCGACAGCTTGTTGAGGTGCTAGTCTCTAAGCGGCACAGACGGGAGTTCGTACGAAGGCAAGATGGCGGATGTGCTGGATCTTCACGAGGCCGGGGGCGAGGATTTCGCCATGGATGAGGATGGGGACGGTGAGGACAGTGGAGGCGGCTACGGGAAGCGGGGAAGGTGCGAGAGAATAGCGTAATAGGAAAAATTTCTCCGAGCGGGTGGATGGGAGCCGTGGAACTGGGCTCGGTTAGAGACTCCGCCCCCTTTGGAAGGACTAGGGGCGGGACCAGGAAGGGACTGAGCTGAAAGCGAAGGATACGTTTTCTGATAGTGTTTTGGGAAAGAGGCAATTGTTAAAAATAGCTGGCGTGGTGGCACAGCCTGTAATCCCAGCATTGGGTGGCCGAGGCAGGTTGATCTCAAGTTCGAGCCCAGGCTGGGCAATTTAGCGAGACCCTTTCTCAAAAAAGGTGGGGGGCGTTGGGAATATAGCTCAGTTCCAAGATCATGGGTCTAAACCCCAGTACTGGAAGAAATATATATATTTTCAGCAAAGTATGGTGGCACACACCTGTAATCCCAGCTATTCGGAAAGCTGAAGCAGGAAATCGAAAGTTGAGGCTAGCCAAGGCAATTTAGCAAGACCTTGTCGCAACATGTAAAGAACTGGGGATATAGCTCAATGGTAGAGTGTTCCCGGGTTCAATCCTCAGTATCATCCAAACCGGGAAAAAAAGACTCGTGTTTGTTACTTGTTCTTTGCTTTTTTGGGATTCCAGAGAGCATCCACAAGTTGAAAGAAAAAGCAAAGAAACGGAAGGGCCGTGGCTTTGGTTCTGGTGAGTGTGGAGAAAATAGGGGAGAATGGTCTGGTAGGGAGGGAGCTGTGAATTTTAGAGTGCGCTCTCAACTTATGGGGAACAGTGGGAGAAAGGAAGTTTTTGGTGATCTGGTGTATGTTCCTTGTAGAAGAGGGATCCCGAGCACGGATGCGTGAGGATTATGACAGTGTGGAGCAGGATGGTGACGAACCTGGACCACAGCGCTGTGAGTGAAATAGAATCTGTGAGGATCTCTGTCTTTGGGCAGTAAAATTACAAGACCAGTAAAAGTTAATCTAGGAGGAATGGGATCAGAGATGACTAGTCGGGAGTCTGCACACACTGTACTCTTGCATCCTGCTAGAAGTTTTTCTCATGTGCTCAGTTAACTACCCTCCCTTCTCCAACAGCTGTCGAAGGCTGGATTCTCTTTGTCACTGGAGTCCACGAGGAGGCCACTGAAGAAGACATCCACGACAAATTCGCAGAATATGGGGAAATAAAAAACATCCATTTGAACCTGGACAGGCGTACAGGATACCTGAAGGTATCTGAAGTGACATTTAGTTGCCTTCCTCCCCCCATAGTCCTTACACAGCATTGGTGGTTGTCCTGTTTGCTGTGATTGGCTAGGAACAGGTGAAATAAGATGACACTGAAAACTGATTTTTGTTAGACAGAGGAAAGAGACAAATAAAACAGACACTGTATGTGCAGCAGGGGTATATGATTGATGTACATTCGTTTCATAAAGTTTGTAGGTTTTTCTGTTTATGCTTTTAGATTTGAGGATGGGGGTACTGGGTCCTTGGTGATACAGGAGGGTTTGATATCTTATCTTTTCACTTGCCCCAGGGGTATACTCTAGTTGAGTATGAAACATACAAAGAGGCCCAGGCTGCTATGGAGGGACTTAATGGCCAGGATTTGATGGGACAGCCAATCAGCGTGGACTGGTGTTTTGTTCGAGGACCACCCAAGGGCAAGAGAAGGTAAAGTGGAGAGGGTAAACACTGTGTTGGTAAAGGGGATGTGAGTAAAGCAGAACAAGGACATTGTATTATATCCCTCTGATGGAGTTCCTGCCCTCTTTACTTTTCCTCAGAGGTGGCCGAAGACGCAGCAGGAGTCCAGACAGGAGACGGCGCTGATAGTTCCTCTGTTGTCCAGGTGGTCTCTCCATGCCATTTGGCCGTGCAGCCTTGGAGAAATACAGCTGGGGTGGAACTCTGTGTTTGTATTTAATCTCTTACCCCTGTAGTGTTTCTTTTGAGTTATTAATAAATGTTCCACTTTTGTTTTCTATATTGAAAGTTACTTTTTTGTTCTAACATTAAAAGCTCTGAAACACTATTTACAGTAAGGCAGTATGGGTTATTGTGAAGATACTGCATTCTATGAATTTGCATTAGACATAGTCCAGGTCTCAGGGTTAAAGTACATCTTCTGCTCAGTATTTCTTATTCTTTTTTTTGAGGCAGAGTTTTGCTGTACAGTTCAGGCTGTCCTTAAACTCACAGCGATTCTTCTGCCTCAGCCTCCTGAGTGCTGGGATTACAGGCATGTGCCACCAACTCCCAGCTAGTATTTCTTCTTGATAATTCAAAAAGCAAAGTTAACAAATGTTTTAGGGTATTAGAGAGTCGCCCTTCTGTACTCATAGTCTGTTGTAAGCAAATGGATGTTACAGGAATGCCTCTCTTTTTTACATACATTTGTTTTTATTTCCAGCTGCTTTGGGGCTTGAGTCTCCCGTCAGGACATCCTCTGAGGCCCTCCTGTGTGGAGCAATCTAGACTAAGTTCTTTGTGCCCTCTTCCACAGCCAAGGGTGAAGGCCCCATAGAGTAGAGAATCCAGAGGAGCATTGAGGAGGCCAAAGAGGCAAAAGATACGGCTAAGGCTGGGAAGGACCAGGACCACCATAGACCCAGTAGGTAATAAGATGGACAGCAGAGCACGAAGGTCAGCAAGATAAGGAGGGCCAGTCTCAGGGCCCGAGACAAACATGGGGGCGAGTGTCTAAGGAGTGGCAAAGGTTAAATTCACCGGCAGGGGCTGGGAATTTAGAAAATACGTCCAGATTTAGAGCTACTCAGCTACTGAACTAAGTATAGGGTGACTTGACGGAGTGGCAGAAGCAGTGAGGAGCTCCCCACCTACAAGGAGAATGCTGTAAACCCTTCCCAACCTAGGACTATATAATCCCCTCCCCATAGGCATAATGAGAGATGTTGGGAGAAGAGGCTGATTAAAATGCACTAGGTAGTTCCCAGGTCTAAGACTTAATGGTACTTAGAGGAGAATATGATTACATTTCTCACTAATCCTTGCCCATTTTTCTCAATTTAGCTACAGGTAATTTAGAACTGAAGGTATTCAGAAAGTCACCTCTGGCTCGCATTGCACTTTTGCTTGGTGACTAAGAGCTGTGAGACTAATGAGTGATGCTAGAAGCAGCAGCTGTGTGGGTACACTTAAGGCCTGGGAATTAGTCTCACCACGGCTCCTCTTGCTGGCTGGGCACAGACACACTGAGGACATAAGGCTACAGCAGACAGTCATGGTGCTCAGTGGCAGCAGAAAATGAATAGGTTCTAGGTGGTCTCTTGCTGTCGAGCCTTAAAGCTGCCTTTGGTGACACACTGAAAGGGAGTGGGCCAGCTCGACCAACAGTATGGAACAGGAACCGCTGGAGTGGATTTGAGGACTATTAGAACTGGCTTCTGCATCCTCCAAAGTGCCTGTTTATGTCACTGTCTCTTCCCAATTTGTCCTTGAGTCCATGTGGCTGTGCAGTGCCACTTCATTTATTTTCAGCTTTTTGAGATAAGGTCTCACTAAATAGTTCAGGCTGGCTTTGAACTTTTGCCTCAGCAGACTGAATTCTGGGGTTACAGGCATTTGCTGCCACACCTGGCTCATAGTACTACTTTAAAAGATGAGCAGTGTATTTTGAAAATGGGTATTTTCCTCTCTGGGTCGAATATGGTGCAAAGAATGAAGTTTGTTGAATCCTAGAATTTAAAAAAAACCCTGCCTTCTCAGATTTTGACATTATATTTTATTTTAAAAATGATGTCTCCACTATTTCATTTACTGCTTTCTTTTTTTTTTTTTTTTTTTTTGGCGACAAGGTCTCACTATGCAGTTCATGCTAACCTTGAGCTCACTTTGTAGCCCAGGCTGGCCTCGAATGCGCAACAAACCTCCTGCCTCAGCCTCCTGAGTGCTGGGGTTACAGGTATGAGCCGCCACGCCCAGCTTTTCCTTCACATCTTCAGTTGAAATGATTTTCCTGGTATGCCTGGTAAATAATACGGGGGAAAATATTGTATAAAATAGGCGCTGTTAAAATTTCAGACCCTCTGAGCAACTACTTTGAAGATAACAATACACAATTAGCTCTTGTTACTCTACTATTGTTTTGAAGTTTTGTATCATTGTTTTGATTGTTTTTTTCTCTTTAAAAATTTTTTTCAGGCCATTTTGCAGCCACTCCAGAAATGACCTTTAGTAATGGTATTATGTACAGTAACTATAATGGTAGAATAATAAAATTTCAAATGCTGTTGGATGCCCCTTTCCTGGTTTGTTACATTGCTGGGTTTTTTGGATTGAATCAGGAGCATTTTTCAACGTGGAGATTAGATAAGAGTGGTGTGGTTCTAGTAAGGCAGATTAAGTCACTATTAATTTGGTAAAAGGTAAACCAGTTGGGTGTCAGATTCCTAGATAATCTGTGGCATTTGGGAAAGTTAGACACGAGAGACTGAAGAAAGGTGAATACGAACTTGGCAATATGATCAGGCTACTCTTGAGTTAGTTGGGCAGTAGACTTTCCTTTTCACCTATTTTGTGTCCATGTAATCTGGATGTTTATTTTTGTTTTTGTATTATGTCTAGAAGTACTTGAGAACTGTGAGGAGTATAAAAATAGTTAAAAGCCCCTGGACTTACAGTTTGGTGCATAACCTTGCATCTATCTCCTTTTCCATTTTATATTTAACTTATCCACCTATAGTAGGAACTGTCCTTTCAAATAGTGCTAATTTAGAAACTTGAGCCTACAAAAATAAGTTTTTCTAGGGGTATAGCTTGGTAATAAAGTGCTTGCGTAAATGTTTGATGCCCTGGGTTCAATACCCAGTTTCACAAAAAAAAAAAAAAAGAATAAGAAGTAATTTCTTACTATTCCTGATACTCCTTTGTCACCCTTAAATCAGGCCAGAATATTTTTATAATTGACAGTAATATTTTAAATACAGTTACAACCTATGGCAATGCAGAATCTATCCAAAAAGTCACTAATTGGGAACCAAAAATATGTCACCTTTTGCACAGATACTTGTTAGGACCAGTTTGCCACTGAGACCTACAGAGGTAGTAATTACTATCAGATAATAATGCCAGGCTGTAAGAAAAGATCATGAATTTAAATAACTTAGACAAAGTCATAAGTTAGTGATATAGCCTACACTTGAACAAAAAAAATACTAAGTCAAATAATGCAACAGGGCTGGGGATTTAGCTCAGCGGCAAAAGCGCCTGCCTGGCAAGCGCAAG